ACGTTACTTTATGACATCTAACGCTCCTCTGTAATATCTATAGTATTATATAGGGATTTATGGTCCAAAGTAATGAATCTATTTTCTATTAAACTATNTATTTCAATCTTTCAACAGTAGTATACCCTATTAGTATCTTTGCGGAGATTTAGATGGTGATAATCGTCGCTAAAAAACTGATTTGAGTTATAACGCAAAGTTTAATATGAAATCAGAGTCTTGTCGTGTTACGCTTGAGATACGCTATCATATCTACAGTAAATTAAAAATAGTCCATGAAAATTCGTTTATCATAAATTGTGTAAATAATGAGAAGAAAATCTTGATAAACACTTTCTGTTTATAGCATAAAAGCTTACCATCTTCTTTTACAGCATTAGCTTTCCTTTTTAAATTTTTACATGTAGAAACAACTTTACACATACGATGATCTTCAGCTACAGAGCGCAGCCCGCTTTTAAAGAGTGCTTCAACTAATGCTTTCTTTGTGTAACTCCGACCTTTTCTACGCTTATTAATACTCAACATTTGCGCACATTGATCGTCAACTGATCCAATTTTTTCAGCTATAATTTTATCGATGTCGCCTTCATCAATTCCAAATTCTCTTGCCAAAGTTTTCCACTTTGTTCCAATATCTTTTACGATTTTGCCGTTATACTTCTTGGCTGCTACAATAATTTTATTTTATTTGCAAAAATAGGATCAGCGGCTACTTGCGGTACATCATATTAAACAGTATAATAGAAAATCGAATGTAGCAAGAATGAACGATTCTCTCTATACTAAATATATTCCTCTTTCTAAGTTGCAATTGTTGAAAGCGCTTGCTATTCAAACCAATTAAATGACTCTATCTTACAAATCAGGTAAGTCGCTGCTATTACAGTATGCGATAGATTTTACCGTATTATCACTTAAAATAGTAAAAGAATGTTAGCCGCAGTACAACTTACAAGAATTGGGTTCGTCCATTTCTATCTCAACAGTTTCATTAGAATCGACAGAGACTTTAAATCGAATTGTGGATGCACAACCAGCATTGAATTTCTCAGTTTCGTCTGATTCTTGTTCTAGAGTTGAATCGACATTACAAAGATACAGTATCATCAGCCATTAAAGAAACAAAGTATAATCTCATTCGCTACTATGCATGCAAGCGCTCAACATTTTTATAAAGTATTATAACATCGTTAAACGTTAAAAGTATGTACTCTTTTGGCTTAAATAATTCTAATATAGTGTGATTTACTTAACTCAATGTTGTTACACTAACTGCAAGCTATTCTCTTTAAAAATACAGAGTG